AGCAGCAAAGCCCGCGCTGACTGACGCACTCTTTACAAATTCAAATGTTGCCGCTTCAAATGACAGGTTTTACGGCAGGATAATCGAACGCTCATTGGCTCTCGCCTGCATTCGTCACAGATTGCAACAAGCTGTGTTTCTGGTGAGGTGTGTTTGAATGATGCGCGCGCGCCTTCACGTGTTCACGGAGTGGACCGGGAAAATTATCTGGATAATATTTTCTGCGATTAACAACATAAATTCTGCTCTGGATCACACAAACCTACTGTATTCTGCCAGAGAGGACTGCGGGTGCAACGCATCATTTGGATTACTTTTGGTGCTGCTTTTGACAATTTTGCAATAAATAAATGATTGTAATTGCATTTATCTTTTTGTTTTTTATACTGTACAGAAATGTTTAGGTTTATAAGTAGGAGTGGGATTAGAGACTATAAAAATATTTGAATGCTATGTTACTAAAATGGCTATTTTCCTGCACATTTCGGTCATTTGAGTTTTATATCCTTTTATATTCGCTATAAAATGGGTAGGTTAAGGGGTCAAAAATCTAAATTGCGTATTAATAAAATGATAAAAATGCATATTCGCTGTAAAATGGGTAGGTTTAGGTTTGGAGGTAGGTTAAGGGGTCTAAAAATCTAAATCGCTTATTGATAAAATGATAAAAATGCATTGATACGAATATCTTGATGATATAAAAGATATGTAAATATTTGTATGTTTACTATATACTTATGGAGAATACTTATGGAGTTTAATTGCTTTATTAGGACAGAATGTTCTGAATTTGCTGGAAGGCATTTCTCTATGTCAACTTCATGTCAACAGGCCAAGGTTTTGTATTCAGGGCCAGTCAAAATGTTCACTTTTTACATTGTCTTCGATCTGACATGCATGAAAAGAGATCTATTCTTCTTCCACTGAGAATGAAGAAATATGCAAATTACATGAAAATATTGCACAATGAAATTGAAATGGCTCACGCCTGTAACTGAGAGTGAAAGTGCGTTCAGAGTTTTCTCTCGAGAAATATGAATAAATACATATTTTGCTCATTTTGCTGTGCACCGTATCTCTATGGACAGGTGTAATCTTTCTGCTGCAGCACAAGATAAAGCACAGCTGACCTAGGATCAGTCTTTGAGTGAAATTTTAAAAAAGAGACAAGCTTGCCTGCTCATTTACAGTTTTCAAATTAATGCAATAAAACTAAAGTGTTAAAGTAATCCCCAGCCATTCTTTTTATCTATCAGATTCAAGCATCAGATATTGTATTACTGTAAACAAAACAACATGCATTTGCACAATGACTGATTGGACATTACTCAAAATGTTAAAGGGACAGTCCACCCACAAATTAAAATTCTGTCATAATTTACTCACTATTTACTCATTCCAAACCAGTACAAGTTTCTTTCTTCTGTAAAACAGAAGATATTTTGAAATATGTTGATAACCAAACAGTTTCAGTTCCGGTTTACTTCAATGTATTTTTGTCCATAAAATACTGTAAAAAGTCAATGGCAACCGAAACATCTTTGTTACGTATGTAACCCTCGTTCCCTGAAGGAGGGAATGGAGACGTCACGTCAGAGGACCGACGAAATTGGGATCTCGCTTAGAGGGTGTAAACTAAACGAGCCAATGCACATTGTCATGCGATTATTGCATCCAGCTGCTGCTGATCACAGCGTGAGTATAAGTAGGCAGCAGGTGCAGCGCATATTCAGGTTTTTCGCTGAGGAGCCGAGCCGGTGACCCGGCCGCTCAGCGGTGGTACAGGAGCTGTGGCGACGGGACGTGACGTCTCCGTTCCCTCCTTCAGGGAACGAGGGTTACATACGTAACCGAGATGTTCCCTTTCAGTCGGTCACTCTTGACGTCACGTCGGAGGACCGACGAAATTGGTATCCTACCAAAGGGCCACAGCTACTGCCCCTTCCAGTGTCCTGTGGAAGCCACCTGCGCCCCTATTTTTTGGTGTAGGCCAGGGCTTCTTCACAAGAGGACCAGCTACTGCTGCAATGGCACTACCCAATGAGTAAGACTGGATAACACTGGGAAAATGTACCCGTTCTACTTGGAACAGGGGCGTTACGGAAGCTCGAACCTTCCTGAAGGATTTACAACACTGTTCCAGAGCAGCTCAACCCAAATATTCAGATGTGTGCAGCAAATTTAATGGAGGACTGTTTCATGATCCTGGTAGAGTAGACTACAATGCCGGCTGTTCTGACTCACAGACTGTAAGTACGTTTTCATATTTAAAGGATTTGCCACTGACGATTCAAATGCGAGTTCTGAGCAGTGTAGAGTAGCGCTTGTTGTTTGTCATTTCTCCGATCACAAATGCAGACATGGTTTTATGTTTACGTGGCGCGATGCAACAGTATATGTCAAAGACAGTATATGTCATTATAATCCGTAACTGTGTCCCCACTGGATGCAACAAATGCTTCATTTATAATGGGTTTTATTGTTTTTGTCTCGTCGCTCCGGCCTGACATGGCATCACAGTATGGTAAGGGGCATAACATTTCCGTCACACGCTTGAGGTATTCGGCCAATCACAATGCACTGGATAGCTGGCCAATTAAAGCACACTTCACTTTTCAGAACGATGAGCTTTGTAAAAATCGACGCATTTCAGAAAAGCGAGGCATAGAGGAGAAACAATATTGTACAGTATGTGGAAAATTATGTGTTTTTTGAACCTTAAACCACATAAACACATTTCATTACACCAAATACACAAAATAATGTTCTTTTTAGCAACATCATATGACCCTTTTAAGATAAAATCACCATGACAGATGCATGTTAAGAAGGTCAAGAAACAGCACCTAATTGCAACGTCGATTAAACGGGTGAAAGAAAAGAAAGAGAGTGACTTTGTAAAAGTCTTGTTCGGACTTACCTGTGAGAGCTCACTGCTGTCAACTCTTCCATTACCATCTGCGTCAAAACGCTTGAACATCATGTCCACCAGATGTTTCCTAGTTGCCATATCGTTCTCGTGGCTGCCATGGTTACCGGGGCTCAAGTACCTCTGAGCATGTAAGTCCAACATCTCGGTCTTCAATTTTTTATAATCTCCCAGATGACAGTTATCATCTGCGAAGTGTTGGAGAGAAATGCTGGTCAGATCAGTGTATATGGAGATGAATTCGCTGTTCTGCAGCATTACTAATTCATCAATAGTGTGGCAATATGAAGCCCATTTCAAAAATGGCCATATGAGGAATCTAACAGATCTGGTATGTAAATAAATGCTGGGAATTTGCAGATCTTGTGGCTCTCACAAGAAGAATCAAAAGAAATAAATGTTTTTGTTTTACTGTATGCATCATATTTGATACATCTGACTATTAGTGATTGTTTAAGAAAATAAACACACACACACACGCACACACAATGTATTATATGTTACTTATTTTTTATCTAAAGAAAATAGGGTTTCAATGATGACTGATACCAGGTTATAAATAAATAATACAAATATTCAATAAAATTACTGTTTAGTCTGTTTTTTTAAATATCTGCAAGACTGTTATTACCTGTGATTGCCTGTGGTCGAACAACAGTTGTATTAATATTAAAATAAAAAAACAAACGGCCATCATATACTGTATTTCATACAACAGTTCAATATATATGAAGTTAATATTACTGTAAGTAACTTACATTTTTGACACAATATTGCCATTAGTTACAAACAAAGCCACAGCAGAACAGTTGCATGTCTCCAAACAATACACAGTTGGGTAAATTCTTTCTGAATGATTCAGCATTTGAACGAATGATTCAGTGAATCACTAATAACAGTCAAGTGTTTCATTCCTGAATGAATCAGCATTTTAAACAAATCTTTTCAACGAATGATTCATTTATGAAGACAGTAACTTGCCGTCACCCACTGACGTAACCATGCGATGCTACACTCTAAAAAATGTTGGGTTGTTTTAACCCAGTTTTGGGTCAAATATGGAGTAACCCAACATTTGGGTTAAAAATTTAATAAAAAAATTAACCCAACAGCTGGGTTAGTCCATATATGACCCAAAGTTGGGTTGAAACAACCCAGCATTTTTTAGAGTGTATGTTTAATTTTAGATGACTTTCCTTAATATCAAAAGAACAAAACACATACATTAATGACAGAACATTTGATGATAAAAACTCTTATTTTATTTGGATAATCATTACGCCGATCAAAAAATGACAAAAACTACAATGCTGTCTGTGCTAATGGGCTGCAGAAAAAAAATGCTCTATGTTATGCAAACATGGCAGAGGAGGACAGACTCTGTACATTACTCTAGCAATCATGTCAGAGAAAGTGCTGGAAAGGTGTTAGGGATGGACTTGAAACAGTTGCTGGAAACAACGGCTGGGAAGGCTTGTCAAAAAGCATTTGACAATATTTGAGATGTTTTCGTCATTATATGTAGCTCAGGTGGTGCAGTATGGCTTCTTGTGAGAATACCGATGTTGTTTCTGGAGCATAAGAGATGGATAATGAAAGGCAGAATCAGAAATGAAAGCTAGAGATGGAGAAAGAAGGAGGTTGAGGAAAAGCAGCTGGTTTTAAAGACTGTCAGTCTAGATTCACTGACAGATGTCAAGTCAGTCACAGCTCATCTCCACATGACTGCACCACTAACTGCAATATGTGCGTGATTTATTGAGATGTATGAATAAATATATGTGTCTGAGCCTGCTGTGTGTATGTGTGCTGATCAGCTATAGCGTGCCACACATCACAAAATGGCCTCTAATTTGACAAGCCACCGTGGCAGGAAAGCTTCCTTCCTTAGAAATGGCAGAATGAATAAAAGATAAATGGTTGTCTACCGTCTACCTTGCCCAGAGGAGATGAAGGTCAGTGTCATCAAACCTGTGTGTGTGTGCGTGTGTGTGTACGTTTGCACACATGGCACATTAGCATTCATTTTTTGGCATGGTGGCAAATGAAGAACTGCATGTCTTCTATCATATTCCAGAACTGCAGATGTGTGACTTAGGGAATATATTTATACGGCATTATCCACCTGATATTTGACAGCTGTACAGTTCCCAGCAATGTTGCAACCGTGCAGAAGGAAAACTCTAAAATGTGTGGAAAGCTGGAGATTTCTTGAATCAGAGCTACATTAATGAGCTGCGTTTCAACAGGAGCCCATCTGCCTGTGCATTGATTTTCAGTGTGGACTGAAACTGTGAGTCTTGTATATAGATATCTTGTATGTAGAAATATGCACCAAATATTAATTTGCAGTACAGAGATATTATAGTAACACAACAGGGAGTTGAAAAAATAATGACTTGAAAATGAAAAAATAAATACTTTTTTTTTGGTCTTTTGTTTTATAAAGTATAAAACATAAAATTTTTATGTAATATAAAATTGTTTATTTTAAATGTTACAAGTGAATCTAGGCCTCACAGCTTTTAAATGTACAGTATGAAAATTAATGTTCATTTTGAGATTTCCTCAACACTTTAACAGTGTTATGAAAGTATTTGTGTTTTTAAAGATTAACTTTAGGTGAGTGTTAGATGATGGCAAAAGTAATATAAATGTAAAAAAATAAACGAACATGCACAATTCATATTTATCAATATTGATTAAAAAAAAAAACAGCCCTCTAACATAGCTGATAACCGACAGGGTAGTGATACAGCACATCCCTAATATATAATATATAATAAATCATAAAAAGTCCACAATAATCTCTCCAAGATGACTCCTACAATCACTAGTAATTAATTTAGTTAAATTAAGATTTCTGCTCTGACCGGCAGTTGCATTTGTGAACGTGGGCGATTGGAAAAACACAAGTGCTGTCATCATGACATTCAACATGTTTTCAGTCCTCTGTGCATGAGTATGTGCATCTTTTTATGATACATGTTACATTATGCTCCATTTCTCAATATATGTGACCCTGGACCACAAAACCAGCCATAAGGGTCAATTTTTCGAAATTGAGATTTATACATCATCTGAAAACTGAATAAATAAGCTTTCCATTGATGTATGGTTGTTAGGATAGGACCATATTTGGCTGAGATACAACTATTTGAAAATCTGTAATCTGAGGATGCAAAAAAAAAAAAATCAAAATATTGAGAAAATCACCTTTAAAGTTGTCCAAATTAAGTTCTTAGCAATGCATATTACTAATCAAAAATTAAGTTTTAAAGGGGTCATTTGATATGATTTCAAGTTTTCCTTTCTATTTGGAGTGTTACAAGCTGTTCGTGAATAGATAAGATCCGTAAAGTTGCAAAGACTAAAGTCTCAAACCCAAAGAGATATTCTTTATAGAAGTTAAGACTTGTCCACACCCTCCTAAAACGCCTCGTTTAAACATGCCCCCACATGTCTACGTCACGATGTGGGAAGATTTGCATAGCGCCGCCCAAATGTTCACGCAAAGAAAGAAGGTGTAACTTTATTGTTGCTGCCACCGCCGCCGCCATTTTATGAAGACGCTGTGTGGTTCATTGCGAAAGCGAAACTACTTTGTTTGGCCTTCCAAAAGAGGACACGACTAGAAATCAGTGGTTAAGTTCCACTGTTCCAGAACAGATCAACCCAAATATTCAGATGTGTGCAACGCATTTTATGGAGGACTGCTTCCTGATCCTGGGAGAGTAGACTACAATGCCGGCTGTTCTGATTCACAGACTGGAAGTACGTTTTCATACTTAAAGAATTTGCCACTGACGATTCAAATGCGAGTTTTGAGCAGTGTAGAGTAAC